GAGCTGGAGAGACACAGCAAAGGAACAAGGAAATATCTGAAAGTCAAGGTCTAGAGAAGCAGTCCAAGTACACAGCACAGTGAAACTCAAGGAAAGTGCAAAGCTCAAATTGAGACAAATTTGTTTGATAGTCCAAGGAGAAACTCAGATACAGCCAGGAACAAGGCAGTGCCTCAGAGATGAAGCTCTAAACCACAGCCCAGAGCAGAACTCACTCAGACCTTAAATAGCCTTCTTTACCATGGGGACGGGGAGGATGTGGTGATTCACAGGTGAAGCCTGCTTCCTGTCCGAATGCATTACTATGGCAACCAGCTGACTTGTAGAACTGCCGCGAGGTCGGCAGAGACAACCGGTACATTGTACTAACAGCCAGACCCAGACACCACAGTGTTCCTGAGCTGATAAAACTGCAGATTTCTTTAGTTTCTTCTAAAGTTTAAGAAATATAAACTATCCCAATCCAACTATCTCTAAAACAGACCAGTGGTGTTTCATTAGTACCAGGAGATATAATCTTACACTTACAATGTATCTTTGAAGTATTCAACTGTAAACAGAGGAGGATAAAGACTTTAAAGAAAATGTTTTTTTCCAAAAAGAAAAAAAGCTCTACAGTCTGGTATTGAGCTCACGTGTCATTCTGTGAGCAGTGTGATTAAAAATACAGTTTGTAGGAATTATTTCTTGAGTTATGGCATTGCTGCCTGGCTGCATTGGGGCACTGGATTCAATTCCCTGGGTGCTAACTGTATGGAGTTTGTATGTTCTCCCTGTGTTTGGTGGGTTTCGTCCAGGTGCACTGGTCTCCTCCCACAGTCCAAATACATGCTGGTAGAATTACTGCCTACTGAGGAAATTGACCCCACTGTGAGTGGGTGTGTTTGTGTCTGTCTGCTCTGTAATGGACTGGCTTCACATCCAGAGTGTATCCTGCTTTGGCACCCTTTGCAATTAATTCAAGTAATGAAGAATCATATTGTATTCTGGATATACAGTATGTGTTACTTATGTTTTTCCTTCTCTTCCTGTATCTATGTTTTTTTTTTGTATCTTTATTATTTCAAACACAACACTTCTCAGGTGCAGGAAAATAAAACCCCTTGGATATCAGAGATGGCACATGTAATCAATATCTCTCTCCCCTGCCTCACAGTCAAAATGATTCAAATGATAAATAATTTAATCACAGTTCTTTGAATACTGTAACTTTGTGAAAAGGTCTCTTATAGTACTAAAATAAACATGTAATTGCACCTGCAGTACTGTAGGTCTCAGCTGCAGCAGTGCAGTTGCTGTGCAGTCCTGCTGAGGGAGGTTTTTGTACGGCTGTGTAACACTGTGTGCTTGGCCAGTAACTGTTGATGTTGTGTAAACTCTGACAGTAATAATCTGCTGCATCTTCAGCCTGGACTCCTGTGATTGTCAGAGTGAAGTCAGTCCCAGATCCACTGCCACTGAAACGCTCTGGGATCCCAGTATAACGGGAAGATGCATAATAGATCAGGAGTTTAGGAGCTTCTCCAGCTTTCTGTTGGTACCAGGCTAGGCGGTTATTACCATACACTGCAGGACTGGTCTTACAGCTCACAGTGACTGTCTGTCCAGGTAGAACAGATTTTACTTCTGGCGTCTGAGTTACAGTAACCTGTCCACTGGATTCTGAATACAAGACAAAACAGAAAATGCAGGAATTCAAGAACTAGAATGCTTTAATTTATTTTAGCTATTTTTACATTTCTGTAAAGCTTGTATATAATATGCTAATAGCCATATCTTCCATCACAAATTAAAAATATGTTTAAGACAACAGCTAGCCAAGTATTAAATTATACCCTGAACAAAGTTGAGGAGAGTCCAGATGAAGATGGTGATGAAGGTCATTGTTGCTGTGGGTTCTGTTGCCATGAAGGGCAGCTCTCAGTCATGAAGTGTTAAACTCACAGGGCTATAAACACTCCCAGAGCACTGAAGCATGTGCAGCAAATGCAAAGTGTCTCCTCTATGCAAATCGTCTTTCTGTGTCTGTAGAAAATGGAGAAGAGCAGCTGCTGTAGTTGTTAATTAAAACAGTGTGGCTCTAGTATGCAAAGCACTTTATTCTCCTGTATATAAATCCTGTGCTAGAGCTGCCATTGTGATCTGAGCAGTGAGCAGAGGTAGGACTTGAAAATGGACAGATAGTTTTCCTCTGTTCTGCATCATTCATTAGTCACATTTTTTTTGAAAGATGAGAGAGAGGGGCTTTCTGTCTGATCCCTGACTGAATTTAAAAGAGACATTGACCAACATGAGACCCCAGTAGGTGAGGGCCAGGGAGAGATCACATCGTCTCACTCTGTACAACATCTCCCTCTGCTGGGGACTGTGGGGAGAGCATTATCATTACAACCCTGCTATCCTCACGATCTCAACCCAGGAGGCGGAATTTCTCACACAGCCTGCTCTCAGTCTCCAGGGGACAGCAGCTCCCTGTAGAAGAGAGCAGGGACTTGTAGCCTCCAGTCACCAGCAGAGGGAGCTACACTGAGGGGCTGTTCTTTCCACTTGCTGGAGGGTTGAGTTCACACTTTCACACACCGGTCTGATGAAGAGGTTTTGTTACAGTTTATACAGGGAATTCAAGGTGGAGGTTGGTGTTGGGTTTTGAAGAGCCTCCAGAGGAAAGTTTAATTTGCTGGGGCCACATGATCCACAGGTATTTAGGCTATCTGTCACAAGTAGATATTTTTTACAGCCATTCCCCCACCCTGTGGGGTTAACTACCATCTCCCTGCAGTGTTGAAGAAGCTCTCTGCTCTTCACTGTGATAATGCCATCTGCAGCTGAGTGTTTTCTGTACAGTATGTTGCCTCCTTTTTATACCCCAGGGAAACAGTAACCTGTTGAAGGCTTCTAGATATTTCTCTATATATT